GTAGCAGGGCCTTGCACACGGGCCCCGGGGGAGGCGGCCCTTTGAGGCCACTCGTTTCTCATCAGCGCCAGGTGTCGGGACGCGTCTGAGAACGAGGCGGCTGGGGAGCGGAGCCCTGCCCCGGGCTGGCCACTGGCATCTGTTCCTGCCGCCCCCTGGGCGGGCAAAGGGGAGGCTCGGCGGCACTCAGGGGCAGTTGGAGGGTGAGGGGAGAGAAACGGTGGTTTCCACACCATTGCGTAGGTGCTCGGTGGAGACAGGGCTCGTCTCGGGTGTTAGAAGTGCTGCTGCTGACGACTCGTGCAGCATCTGTCTCTGCAGCGCTGGCCCCTCCAGCAGAGGGACCAGGCCCCCACGTGCAGTGGGACCTCCGACCTCTGCAGGTTCAGGCTGGAGACAGAACCCCGACCCCCCCACAGGTGACCCTGTCAGCAGAGGCGCCAGTGGCCTGACCCTGGGAACCAGACGGTCCAAGGACAATGGCCATAGTGCCATCAGTGCCATCAGTGCCCAGGCTGGCAGCATCGTGGTCTGCTGCAGGCCACGATCTCGGGGGAACTCACCAGCAGTGGTGAGGGGGTGCTGTCGGCCCACACGCTGCCTCCTGCCTGGGACCTCTGCTGTGACCCCCCATGAGCCAAGAGTGACGGGGTGGAGGCAGCGAAGACCCTTGGTCTTGCCTTCCAGTGACCACGGCCCTGAGACGGGTGGTCGTGGGGCACGCGGGTGGTTCTGCTGGGAGCCAGATGTCTCCTCCACTCGGCCGCGCCCCGCACGGTGGCTGCCTTTTGTGCAGCCGTGTTTAACGTCTTGTATCGCGGAAGGCGCAGATGCGCTTCGTGTGTATTAATGAGCAGCCTCCATCTGCCTGGGGAGCACGCTTCATCTCATTCAATTTCTGAAGCTCTCAGGGAGGCGGCGTGGTCGAGTGGAAAAAGAGTTGGCTGGGAAGTTTGCAACCTGCTGTGTGACCTTGGACAGTTCTCTCCCCCTCTCTGGGTCTTGGGTTTTCTAGAAAATGAAGGGCTTGGGTTTGATGTTCTTCCAGCCTGCCTTCAAAGTAAGAGTGTTTTGTCTGTCTGTCTCTCTTTCCGTGTGTGTGTATGTGTACAATGGCCCGTTGTGTGCATGTATGCATATGTGCTTTGTCAGAGTTGGCATACAAGAAATTGGGGGGTTCCTCTCTAGGGACCACATTTCCTTGGTGAAATCATAGCACCACTGTCTGTAATCCAGACCTTTACTTGATTTACATAACCAAGGTCTATGTAACCAGGGTCTCAGGTCAACGACTGGCATCTTGGCTGAGTCCACCCAAGGCCAAACACCTTCACCACCTATGTAGCTGCTCATTGATCCATCTTATCCATCCACTTTCTCACCTAGCCATCTCTTCAATCTAGTCATCCCTCCATCCAATCGACCTATTCTCCCGTCCATCCATCCATCCACCATCGGTCCACCATCCATCATCTATCCATCCATCCACTATCCATCATCCATCCATCCATCCACCATCCATTATCCATCCATTCATCCACCATCTATCCATCATCCATTCATCCGCCATCCATCATCCATTCATCCACCATCCATCATTCATCCATCTACCATTCATCATCCATTCATCCATTCACCATCCATCCATCCATCTATCGATAATCTACTGTCCATTCACCATCCAACCATCATCTGTCCATCCATCCATGCACCATCCATCTATCATTCATCCATCCACCATCCATCCATCCATCCATACACCTATCCACTATGCCTACACCACTGCATGTGCTTAGAGAAAACCTGGGTCTGCGGTTCAGAACGACTGGAAATAGAATCCAAGTTGTACCACCGATTGTGGTCATTGTTCTTTTTTGTCTGTCAGATCATCTTCCCCACAAAGCCCTTCCAGGGCAAGTGCGCTTTCCTGAGTGCAGCGAGGAGGCTGGTGGTGCTGAGCCACCTGGCCATGGTGCCAGGAGGGGAGGCCGGAGCGTGCCTGCTGCCGGGCCCCCTGCTGCCCAGATTGCCCTTGGGTTCTGTGACCCGCCCAGCATCCTCCAAGACATCCCTCTTTTCCAGGCCTAGCCCTGGTCCTGTTGCTTACGGCCACGTTTACCATTTCCTTCCTGGAGGACTCTGCCCTGGGGGGCTCCTGCTCTACCTGAGGGACCCAGGGACACACAAGAGAGAACATGGGTGCGTGGGGAACTCTCACAGGGTCCAGTGCAAGCACGGGCTGGGGTCACCTCTGATGAAGTGGGGTGGGAAGGCGGGGGCAGGAGTGGCCTGGCGCTTCCAGGGAGGATACCTGGAGAAGTCACTTTAACTCAGGGACTTACAGGGACAGTGCAAGGGATGGTTGATAAAAAGTACACTAATTCCAGGACACACACTGATTCCTGACGCTGACTTACCCTCTGGGCACTTGCCTATGAATGTCCATGCAGGTGACTGCTGGGGGTGGCCCTTGTCCAGCCTGCTGGCCCGAAAGGCCAGAGAGTGGGCAGTGTGGCGGAGAGGGTGGCTGACGGGGCTGACCGCTCTCCTCCCGTAGCAAACAGAGGTAGGGCCTGAGGCCGAGAGGTCAGCCCTGGACATGCCTTGGGTGGCTTGGAGCTGGAGCAGGGCAGCTGGGGACAGGCCCACCCTGGGTCCCGTGTTCCGAATTCCCCGAGCGGGGGGGGGGGGGGGGGTGGCGCAGAGGCACGGAGAGAGCAGCCCGTCCCCCAGGCTGAAGGGCGCCCAGCTGCACCCTGAAGGCCCGGCCCGCTCCGGCGTCTGCTGTTTGCGGGCTCGTGACCACGCGAATGCCACACTGTCCCGGGATGGGGAAGAGCCCGGAAGTTGTCTCGATCCCGTGACTACTGGCCAGACCCATCGGGCCTCCCGGGAGCCACATCGAGAGGGTAAGTGACAAGAGCTCCGACAATCGTGATGACCGAACTCGAGCCAGGACGTCAGTGGTGTGTTGAACGCCATGCGTGGGAGATGTTGTTAACGGGAAGCGCTCGGGTGAAGAGCAGCCGTCCCTAATCTCCGCAGTCCTCACTGTCACCTGCAGCGGCTGACTCCCTCTCCTGTCTCGGGGGGCTGTTTTCTCAAAGAAGTTGTTTTGCAGTAAGTGAGGTCAGGTTTCCTCCTCGCAGCCGAGTCCGTCCAGGAGGAGCAGTGTGACGTTTGAGGTTTTGTGTGCTGCTGAGTGTTCCCGCGGAACCGGAGGTTTTGCTGTGCACAGTGTTCGTCGCTCATAAAAACCACATGGGGTGTGTTGTTGTCGCCCCAGTGTCAGACGAGAAAACTGAGGCCCAGAGGAAGTTAGGAGCTTACCCGAGGTTGACGAGAAAACTGAGGCCCAGAGGAAGTTAGGAGCTTGCCCGAGGTCAACGAGAAAACTGAGGCCCAGAGGAAGTTAGGAGCTTGCCCGAGGTCTCGGATCCAGCTCCTGGTGGAGCCGGGATGGAACGTCCGGACCGGCAGAGGCCTGACTGGGAGTGAGGATGTGGGCGCTGCCGAGCTCCCTGGTCTCGGGGTGACTGCCCCACTGCCAGCGGGTCCCTCCTGCTTGTCCAGCACACCTGTGGTCAGGTGGAGCCAGGCCACGTGCCGATTCAAGCCCCATGGCCGTGGGAGGGAGTCCCCACTCCCTTCCCAGTCCCAACCCGCTTCCCTGAGGTTCCCCCGAGAATGAGCGTGACTGGCGGGGCCCAGCACAGGCTGGCTCCTGGGGGGACCACCGACGTTCTCATTTCTCTGTCCTTGAGGTCACACCGAGTAAATAACTCTGACATGTGGTACTTTTTTCTCGAATGGAAATGCAGGCTGGCTGCTTCTCTCCCTGTCACCTCCCAAGGACCTGCCCGTGGCCTGGGAAGGAGGTAAAGCCCTTTCCCGGGACGCTGGCAAGCAGGCGGGCGGAGGTGGGGCCACCCCGGGACGCGGTCTGGGTCCCACCAGCCTGGCCAGGATGCTCGGAGCCTGCTGGGACGAAAATGGGCACTGGCTGTGCCCACGCTTCCCCACGAGAGGGACAGGCCTTTTATGACCGCACATTTGTGGGGTCATGGTGATGTGTCAACACACACAGCGCCTGGTGACTACATCAGGCCAGGAGCACTGCTGCCAGCACCTCAGACACCGACCATTTCTTTGCGTTGGGAGCGTGCAAATCCTCCCTTCCAGCCGTCTGAAGATGCAGAGTGGGTCCGTCCACTGCTTCTCCCTTGCATGGGGCCAGGGCACGGCGCACCTGCGGCACTCGAGGACGAGACCACCGGGAAAGCGTCCTGGAGGAGATGACACCTGTGCTGGGTCCTAAGAGCCTGAGGTGACCTCCGCAGGGGACGGGGAGCTATAGAGAAGGCCCTCTGCAGAGGGGTTGGGGGGTGCGGGCTGAGGTGGGGGTCCCTGGGCACGCCCGGGACCTGGAAGTGGTGACTGTGATGGCCGGTGGTGGGGGCCCAGGGAGGGGCAGCTTATGCCTCCACTGTGGGGGGCTCGGGTGCTTGCTATAGGGGTCCCCTCAAATACCCGTGGCCGATCTCCGTTCTCGCTGTGGGCGGGAAACCCGCAGAGCCGGAGCGACTTCCCTCAGGGGGCCGGAGGGGGAGGGGCTGGATGTGGGTGTCCAGGGAGGGTGTGGGTGTCTCTGCATCTGGGACTGCTTGCCTGGGGACCCCGAGGGTGTTGCGGGGAGAGGAAGCTGCCTCGGGGGGGAGGACGTCGTGTCTTGGGCTGATGGGTTGCCCACCTGGCGAGTGTCCGTGGAACACCTGTCCCAGGCTGTACGCCCTGAGCCGGGAGCAGGCTCTCCTAGACCCGTCTCAGATGCACTTGCAAAAAGGCGCCTGCCCCCAGCCTCCGGCCTGGCCCTGGCACCGCTCAGGGCGCCGGACGCAGAGGTGGGGCGCGGCCAGGAGCCTCTGAGAGCCCGTCAAGTGGGGCTGCTTCAGCCTAAGTGCCCTCCAGCGCTCGGAAGGTGGATTAGCTCTGGAGGACTCGCCTGAAATAGATATTTCTCTCCACCGCCGGAGGGATTTATTGGCAGAACCGGCCATCTATTAACATTATCTGGGGACTCTGCACTGGTGAGAATAGATACTATAAATCTTAGTTGTATAAAAACCCAGGAGCTAGGAGGCTTTAGTGGACGGCAAATAGAAAAGCCCGATGAGTTCAGACCTGTTTATTTTACTTAGAGGGAAAGAACATTCCGTACCCAGCCAGGCAGGAAATGGGTTTTGGGGACGGCCACTTAGCCCAGCTGTTGGCCCTGAAACTGTGGGAGTAATCGCTGCCCGCAATTAGAGCGGGCAGCTCTCGGGGACGTCTTTCGTAGCTAGTGTGTGACGGAGGCTTCAGGCCTGGAACTTGAGGCAGGTAGCCATGGGGCCTGCTGGGGAGGGCCCCGCTCCAGGCAGCCGGAATGTCTGGTGCAGGGGGTCCTGCGTCCCCCAGTGCCCGGGACGGGCCTGTGCACGCTGGTGGGTCTGGCACACGCGTCTGTCGCACCCTCCTGCTCTGCATGTGCGTGTTGTGGCGTGGACGACGCACCGCGCGGTTCCCGTCCCTGACCCTCTGCGGCTCCCTCCCGCCCCGCCGGCCCACTCGGGGCTGCTGCCGTGTCCTTGTGTGAGCTCTGGGGGCGGGCCTGTCCCCCCTCTGTGACCTGGAGAGGCGCGGTTGTGGCCCCACGCCCCGTCCTGCCAGCTGGCCGGAGTTTCCTCTCTGCACGCCACCTGTGTCGGGAGCGCCTGCCCGTGCGGGGCCGGGGGTCTAAGCCGGACCCTCTGCTGCCTTCCTCAGTGCCCCGAACGGCGCGGCTTAAAACGACAGACGGTCATTCTCTCCTGGTGCGGGAGGCCGGAAGTCAGACATCGAGGTGCTGGGGGGGGGGCCCCGAAGGCCCCAGGGGGGAGGCCGTCGTGCGCCCGTCTCTGCAGGCGGTCCCCACAGCCCTCGGCTTGCAGACGCATACCTCCGATCTGCGCCTCTGTCGTCACGTGGTGTCCTCCCTTGCCGGGACACCAGCCTCGCCGACCTGTTCCATGGTGACCTCGTCCTAGCCGATGACAGCAGCAATGGCCCTGGTTGCAAATAAGGTCGCCTTCTGAGGTTCTGGGCAGGACGTGAATTTTGGGGTGGGGGGAGGGTGTCCTGTGCTAGTCCCCAGGGATGGTGAAAGGGGACAGGCCACTCCCGTGTCACACTGTGTGATGTGCACAGGTGGCCTTCCTGTAGGGAGTGCGCCCGGGCGGCCTGATGGAATCGGGTGGTCCCTTGCCCAGCTGGCGGAGGAAGAGGAAGTCAGGGAGACAGGAAGCGCGAGCGCCGGTGTGCCACAGCCGGTCTGCAGGTGTGGAGGTCGCGGGGAGCACAGAGTGGGTGCACTGACAGCTGCCCGGGGACCTCAGTCTTACCTGCAAGGACCCGCGGGAGCTTGGGAGCGGATTTCCCTCCGGGGCCTCTGATGGGGGCTTGGCTGTGTAGGCACTTTGCTCTCAGCCTTGCGGGACCCTGGCAGGGGACCTGGGCGTGCCCCGCTGCACCTGGCTCGCAGAACCGGGAGCTGGCCAGCTTGTGGCCCTTCGTCACGCAGCACTGGAAACCGGGCACGTCACCCGGAGGGCGGCCAGGGGGATGAACGCACGGACACGTGTAGCACCCAGACGCCCGCTGCGGGCTGTGCCTGTGTCACGTTTTGGGGTCTTTTCGGCATCTGCATCCTCTCTCCACTGTGCCCTGAGTGCAGGGCTCGGGTGGGGGCTCCGTGGGGTGGCAGCCCCGTCCCTGTCGCGAGTGGCTGGAGGGGCATCGATCCCGCTCACTCAGCGCCGGGGAGTCCTGGGGGGGCTCAGCGCCCTCCCGCTGCTGAGCTCTGGCCTCGCCTGCTGCGGATCGGAGATGGGCTCTGCTCCCGGTGCTCGGTGCAGACCCGCCTCACGGCTTCCCGGGCCGTTCCGACGGCCTCCTTTTTAAGATCTCCGCGGCACGTGGGTGCCCTCGGTGGCGATGCTGAGCTACCGTCCTTCAGGAATGTCAAGAGAGGCCGGGTGCGGCGGCTCACGTCTGTAATCCTAGCACTCTGGGAGGCCGAGGTGGGAGGATCGCTCAAAGTCAGGAGTTCGAAACCTGCCTGAGCAAGAGCAAGACCCCCGTCTCTACTATAAATAGAAAGAAATGAATTGGCCAACTAAAAACATATAGAAAAAATTAGCCGGGCATGGTGGCGCATGCCTGTGGTCCCAGCTACTCGGGAGGCTGAGGCAGGAGGATTGCTTGAGCCCAGGAGTTGGAGGCTGCTGTGAGCTAGGCTGACGCCACGGCACTCACTCCAGCCCGGGCAACGGAGCGCGACTCCGTCTCAGAAAAACAAAACAAAACGAAAGAAAGTCAAGACAGAGCTCTCTAAAACCCCTGAGGTACGACAGAGGATTTGGAAATAAAACACAGTGGCCTTGCCCATCCCTCCGCTGACTCTCCGTCCTGTCTTTTGTTCTCTCTCCCTCGGAAATGCAGACGTGAGGCCGGAGTCGGGCCTCCTGCACAGAGCCCCGCGGGCCGGGCCGCTCCCTCCTGGCGGGGAGAGCCGATCCAGACGGCCTCGGCCTCCCTGTCGGGAGGAACGCAGACCGGGCCTGGGATCCCCAAGGTCTCTGTCGGCTCCGGCCGTTGGCGAGCCCATCTTCCCGCCTTTGAGGGATGGACGTGCCCTTTCCCGGGTGAGAGGTGACTCAGAGAAAAGGCAGCAATAATTAATATTGATGCGGCTTCAAATGTTAAAAGTTAGAATTAAATTAAAAAAAAAGGGAAAGGGTCACATGTAACCAATTAAGCCCCGACTTCTCCGTGGCCTCCCTCCCACGTCAGGGGCAGAGCGGTCCTCGCTGGGCTCCGCCAATTAATCTCGCCTCACCTTCCCGCGCGGGGCGCCGGCGCCGGCTGCAAATTGAGGGGAAGGAGGACTCGGCCGGCTGCAGGCGCGCGGCCCGTCCCCCGTTGTGCAAATGCCAGGGAGGAGGACGCGCGGATCAATTTGCAGGGCCGCGGACCGCAGACAGCCCCGGGAGGAGAGGCGGGCACACGCGCCCGCGCTCGCTCGGGAGTGGGAATTAATGAAGGCGACTGGGAAGATGAAAGAGCACGGGCATGTGAAATGAAGCCCAGCGGGTTGCGGGAGTTCAGGATGAATTTCAAAACGCAGAGGTTGCCGGGCCTGGACTAATTACCGCGGGAGGGGCGGGGCGCGGCGGTCGTGTCTGTATGGCTGCAGCTGGCCGGGCGCAGAGGGAGGAGGGCAGCCCGCTGGGCCCCCACGCCGCCCAAGCCGGGGCCCAGAGCTGCAAGCCCGGCCTCGACACGCGTCCCTTTGGGTCTCAGATCTAGAAATCGGTGGGTTCATGAGGGACCCCTGAGCCTACCGAGATCGGGGTGGGGGATGAGCAGAGTGGGGCTCTGGGGAGGGGGCGCTGCTTCCCGAGGGTGCCGCGCCGCCTGCCTGGGTGTCCGGTGTGGGACCCCCAGCCCTGCATTGCGGCTCCTGCTGGGTCCATGAACACGGACCTCCTCACTCCCGTGACAGTGCCGTGAGCAAAGCTCGACTCGTGTCCACGTTAGACATGGGGAAACCGAGGCTTGGAGAGGTCAGGCTGCCCAGCTGGTCATCGGCACAGGCGGGTTCCAACCTCGGGGTATTTCCCTGTGCGCCTAACCACTGGACAGCACTGCTGCCTGCTGGGGACACCACAGGGGGCTGGCGTGGCTGGGGCCACCACAGCAGGTGGCAAGAGGGGCCCTTTGACGGTTTCTGAAGGCGGAGTGGGAGGGGTTGGCGAGGGGGTGTTCCATGCAGAGGGAGCAGACTGTGTGAGGGGCACAGAGTGAGCAAAGTGAGGGGTGGTTCGAGTGGCGTGCGGGGAGGTGGCATGGGGGGGCGTGGCCCCACATGAAGTTTGGAGGCCACATCAGGAAGGGCCTGACATCCTGCGAAGAGGCAGGGCCTCATCCAGGGCCCGAGGAGCCCCTGTGCTGGCCCGAGGAACGCGCAAGTCCTGGCCAGCTGTGTGCTTCAGGAAGCTCTTCCTGGGGTCCCCCAGAAGGGGGTGGGCGAGACAGGCAAGGCTGGAGATGCCCACACTGGTCCCCAACTCATGAAATGCCGTCCCTCATGACGGACTTGGTGATCAAGTTGGAGGACTCAGTGACAGACCTGGGGCCTGGGGTGTAGGTATCATCTTCCCCACTTCACAGATGGGACAACTAAGGCTTGTGGTTTCTGTGTCAGTTAGCTACTGGTGTGTAACAAATGAGCCCAAGGTTTTAATAGCTCAGAGCAAGAACGATCATCGTTTTCCCTGTGTCTGTGGGTCTGCTTGGCCGGGCCGGGCCGGGCCAGGCCCCGTCAGCACCTGGAGCAAGAGAGCAGGTCAGCTTCCGTCCGCTTCCTCTGGCCCCGCCCCCACCAGGCCAGCCCTGCCCTGCTGTCCACGTGCTGGGCGGGCTCTTGCAGGGAGTGGAGCCCACAGGCCCCTTGAGGCCAAGCCCAGAACGCGTTGATATCACTTCTGCTGAATTCTTTTGGCCCAAAGCAAGCCACAAGGCACCCCCATAAACAGGAGGGAGGAAAAGGTCGCCCCTTTTAGGGAGGAGCTGCCAAGGCATGTTGCAAAGGGTGTACAGTGTGTGTGTGTGTGTGTGTGTGTGTGTGTGTAACATCCGGGCTGTTTTTGCAAACTGTCTCCCGCAGCTCTTGCTGTTCTCTGCAGACATGATATAGGCAGTAGGTTCTCTAACAGCCCAGAGACCTGACCCATAACCGCAGGGTGGGCTTGGCTGGTCAGGGACGGCTCCTCCCGGGAGGTGGCACTGAGGTCCTCGCCAATCTGTAAGCACACGAGTATTTCATCAAGTCCATTTCTGTGCTGAAATTCAAGCTCATTAAACTTTTTTTTTTTTTTTTTAACCTAGTATGGCAGAAGGCAGGCTGCCTCACATCTCAGATGAGTTTATGAGCAGGCCAGTTGCAAATCCATAATTAAAAGAATTTGACAAGAATCAAAGACGACTGGTTTCCACCGGAGGTTTGGGA